TAAACATGTCAAATTATCAAAAAAGACATCTTGAAAAAATAGTCAGTTACAAACATTTCATAATATATTTCTAATACTATAATTAAAAAATTATAATAACATAATATTTTAATTAATACAAATAAGATAGTAAAAATAAATAAATAATATAATATGTTATTTAAAAAAAATTAATTGATATATATATATATATATATATAAATACAAATAAATATGTATATTCCTTCATCCAATTAAATGCACAATTTCGTATACCAGCATGTATCAAACATNTCAACTTGTACTCCTGATTCTGAAATGACATGACCCAGAAATTGAACTTCTCTTAGCCAGAATTCACACTTTGACAATTTTGCATACAATTTTTCTCTTTTCAGCAATTCCAATATCAGACGAAGATGTCTTGCATGTTCTTCTTCAGTCTTAGAGTATATAAGAATATCATCGATAAATAAAATAACGAATTTATCAAGGTATTCCTTACATACCCTATTCATCAAGTCCATGAAAGCTGCGGGCGCATTAGTTAAGCCGAATGGCATAACTAGGAATTCATGATGCTCATACCTTGTTCTAAATGTTGTTATTTCAACATCTTCTTCTCTGACTTTAAGCTGATGATATCCTGACCTTAAATCGATTTTAGAGAAGTAGCTTGCCCCCACCAGTTGATCAAACAAATCATCAATCCTTTGTAAAGGATATTTGTTTTTGATTGTCAACTTATTTAACTCACGGTAATCTATGCACATTCGCATGGATCCATCATTCTTTTTAACAAACAAGACCGGAGCACCCCAAGGCGAAGTGCTAGGCCTTATAAATCCTTTATCGATTAAGTCTTTCAATTGTGTTGCCAATTCCTTTAGTTCGGATGGAGCTAAACGATATGGAGCCTTAGCTACAGGTGCAGCCCCTGGTATAAGATCAATTCGGAATTCAACAACTCTATCTGGTGGTAACCCAGACAAGTCTTCCGGAAATACTTCAGGATATTCACAAACTATCGGAATTGATTCTTCCTTTCTTTTCTCTTTCTTTAAATCAACCACGTATGCCAAATACCCCTGACATTTCTTTTGAATACTCTTTCGGGCTTTCATTACTGATAGAACATTAATACGATGATCCTGACGGTCACCATAAATAATAACTGTTTTCTGGTCTGGCAAAATAATTGTGATCATCTTTTGATTACAATCAATGCTAGCCTGATACTTTGCCAACCAGTCCATGCCCACTACTATGTCAAATTCTTTCATTGGCATCAGAAATAATCGGATCGGGAGTTCAATGTTTTCAACAATAATTAAGCAGTCATTGAA